AAGATGTTGTGGGGAATATATTGCAATTCTAAATATGATTTTGTCCCTTAAAGCTGACTTTAAATCTGACTTTTTTGGTTTCATGAATGCATTGTGTTTGTCCCAAAAGAAACAGTCTTTAGTAATATCCTGAGGTTTGTACACTTGGAGCTAATTGATGAGTGCTCTCATTTTTACTGAAATATATGATTAAATATGCGAAAATTAGTGATGGAACCAAACTATTTGGAGACAGAGGAACCAGTTACATGGATTTAATTAGTTCTCTTTTTTAGGTTTATAGTTAGGTACACCAGCTTTGATATATGTGCATATGAAATAAATAAGCTTTGAGAAACGCAGAAGAATCAAATGCAGCCATGTGCCTCATTTTCAGCAACAAATGGACATCACTTTCATGTTGATTTTTTGCTGAGCTTTGATGCTCACTTAGTTTGTTCAGGCTGTATTCTTCATAATTGAATCTCAAATTGATGTAAGCCTGAAAAACACACTATCAGGCCGGATGAACCTGTACAGCCAGGAAAGACATGGTCAGAGATGGAAACAGCGCCCTTGTAACGCACTTCCTCCATCTTTGACAGATTTGTTAGCGTCAGTCCATCTGTTTTTTCCCAAATAATGAGTCAGTTCAATTCAATGTTCAGTACTTCCTGGACTATTAAGCAATGGGAAATGGGGAAGGTCCATAGATAGATAGATAGATAATTTATTGATCCCTGTCAGAGAAATTCAGGTGTCCAGTAGGTGAAAAATAAATAAATAAAATAGATCATTCAAAAAAGCTAACAACAGTAATAATCAGCAACAGCCCTTCAGGTCACAGCAGCAGGGGTGGAGTAGCCTCTGGGTGGAGCAGGACGGGTCACAGCAGCAGAGGTGGAGTAGCCTCTGGGTGGAGCAGGACGGGTCACAGCAGCAGAGGTGGAGTAGCCTCTGGGTGGAGCAGGACGGGTCACAAGGTAGAGTAGCCACTTGGTTCTCTGCTCTAGTCCAAAGTAAAATGCTAAATGCTTCATTAGTATTTTTCAAAAAGTTAGCTTTCTTCCAATGGATTTTCATCTGATCCACTTGGTTCGGACCATAAATCCTCTCTGCTCCGGTCTGGACCAGTGCATAACCATGAACATCTTATGTAGAAAAAATCAAGAAAATAAAATTTGTAAAGCACAAAACAACAACTGTTTCAGAGCTACTTTTTCCAGTGCATTCAAAAGTAATCATCCCAGTGGTCAGTGGTCATCCCATAGGTCAGTGGGATGACCACTGTCTGTAAATGTTCATAAATACCCACATGGTTCTGTGTTAGCATGCATGGTTGACAAAATATTTGTTGCATGATTTGCACTCCCTGACCACATGACCAGGTTCTATTTGAAGAATGAGTTAAGATCTCAATGGCTGCTTCCCTGCTTAGATATTGAAATAACATTACAGAGGAGGTCAAGCTTACCATATCTATGCTTATTTATAATAATAACGTTAATGGTTCTCTCTTTTGTACCATGTGTCCTCACTGTTAAGGAAGACCGAGACTCATTGACCCTTTCAAACAAATATGAAACTAAATGCTGTGAAAACTCAAATTCACAATGCTATATTAATCACTCATAATAATTTACCTTCAGACTAAGATTCTATTTCAACACAGGACATCCTGATATTTTGGACCCTTCACATACTTGGCTTAGTTACAGCTGGTATTTGGTAGCGCGGTACATGAGGTTCATTTGAAACTGAACTCCAGAAGTTAGCAATGACTTGTCTATCAAACACTTGCTTTGTCGCTACGTTTATAGCTGTGGAGTTGAGCTGCCATCACGCAAAGCTTGAATGCTAAATAGATCCACTTTCCATGACACCTTATCAAAAACGCCCTACATACAGCTGCATAGCGAAAGTCAAAACTGTTCTTTTCTCTCAGAAATGTGCACTTTTGTGTGGAGCGCTGAAAAGAGCAACGAGAAATCCAGCGCAGAATTCAACCGTATTGGTTTTGTTTTGATTGTCGCGTCCCTTAAGAAAGTGCAGGCTGTCTTTTTTGTGTTTCTCTGTAAAAAAGTTCTTCCTGTGCATCTGCGTTCGAAAGGAAAACTTAGGTGGGTCCTCAGGGGAGAGAATTGAAGCAGGGACGATTTGTTGAAATTGGCTACAGAAACTCAAACAAGTGAAGTTTTAGGATCTTAACACCATGTTTGTTTTGCATTTTAATTCCTTCCGAAGCCAAGGTCATCTCTGGAGTAGTGACATATCACCCATGCTTAATCATGAATTATTGAACTGGGATGTTGACGTTAAAGGAGACATATTATGCAAATAGTTTGAGATTTTATCCTTGTTACAATATTGTTCCCCCCCAAAAAAACAGACCTGGAGTTGTTTTTAGGTCCACCCACCCTAACATCAGGCCCAAACATGTATCTCCACCCCTTCTGACTAAAAGCTCCCGTCTCAGTGCCAAAATAGTGTGATGTCATTGTACCACTATGACATCACACTCAAAGCAGTTTTCTGACCATAAATTGCGGTAATTTTCAGGTGATATGACATTTTTTACTCTTGGTTATGATCAAATTTGAAAAAAAATGAATACAAAAATCCTCCTTCTGGTGGTAGCACATGGGAGTTACAGACAGAAATTCTCATACTCATGCCAGCCAAATATAATGCCGCATATTCTTCTTTTTTGATGGGAGCTCACTGAAAGACACATCCATCATGCGGGGGGCCATCTCACTGAATGCAATCATCAAAATTGCATATGCGCTTTCATGTAATATAGATAGCTGCGAACATGTGGGTGTGGAAGTGTTAACAGCTGATCCCGGATAGTGTTAGAACAGAGCGGGATACGACGCGGGTGTTGTCAGGCTAAGGTGCAGCCCACTTTTGACCTCTGCATAGAGTAATTACCAAAGGCAGCGGGTAAAACCAAGCTGTTGTCTTGTCATGATCTCCAGAAAAGGCTGTGGGCTAATCAGCTTAGCCTGTCTGTCTGCTAGACCAGGTGACCCAAGACGCCGCTCTGACAGTTGGTGGAGGTCGGGCTACCAGGGTCCAAAACAAATACAACTCGCCTAATTAGCTTTGAACTACACCTACACGTTAGTTACGGTCGACTTAAATCCATGGTGTAATCCTCTGCCTAAAAGCACTTAATTATTTATAAGAAGGTTTTAACCCCTGATATATTTGAGTTGCGTTCACGTGACATCACAACATTCCAGGGAGCCTATTGTTTAATATTGTGGTGAAAATTAGAATATTGTTCATCAGTCTATTTACTTCTAGAGTGCAACTTATTACATGGAAAGTGATGTCAAGCCTTTATTTGTTGATCATCAGCTGAGAAACTGTTGACGTTTTTTCCGTTTTCCTCAAGAAATAAAAGTCAACGTATCCAAAGTCATTCAGTTTTTATTTACTCCATCAAATTTGATAAGCAGAATTCATAATAACATAGACGTACATAATCCGTAACACTATGGCTGTATCTCAAAAGGTTGACCTGATAGAGCAAAATGCATGTGATATTCGGACTCAGAACACCAACATTAGTCTAAATCAGTTGAGAAACCCCTGATCATTTTTTGGCTGTCACCTTGTGTAATCATTAAATGTCTAGCAGTGGTGACAATATTAAACAACATGATGTTGGCCAGTAGAAAGAACTTTGAAGGGTTTTTGATCTGGGAAAACATTTAGACATTTAACTTGTTTCTCATTGAGTTGTATGAGCACCTGCCCTTCAGCTGAAATAGAAACTAAACATGAATGCAACTGTTCGCTACGTGATTCTGTGCATCAGCATCAATACATTACAATTCAATGTATACAATATATTTATCTCTATTATATATCTTTTTCAGGTGCAAAATGAGTAGGATTAATGTAATACTGTAAGTGAGCATTTGAATGAATGTAGCCGTGCGCGTCATCCCGATCGCTGTGAGTGAGCGGTGTCTGGCCAGAATCTATGTTTGGAACAGCAGCATTTCAGAAGAGGCATAGAACTCTGATTGCGATTTTATTCTGAGGCAGCTTTGCTTGTGAATAGTCATCGCTGTAATTTGTGTGCGCTCTCTAACATTCATGTGGAAGTGACTTAGTGTCGCGGACCGTGGGTTGTCAGGATGATTCAGCATTGCCTCGTCCTTAGGCCCTTTCCCCTTCTCCCACATACCGACACCCATCTTTGTGGGGTGCTGTCGCAACATTAGTCCCACATGGGCCCGAGCACGAGGCCTACAGAGAGAGAGAGAGAGACGCAGAGGGCGGGTGCTTGAACTCCTGGCATGGCGAGCTTGCCCTGAAAAGGCCACATGCCTCCCTGCGCAATTACGCACTGTGCATAGAAACAGCTCTCCCCCACCCTTCACACATACACACACAATGCGTTGACCAACCAAAAATGGGAGACGGATGATTGCTGAACAAGGGCGAAGAGCAGCAGATTGCTCACATTATTGGCCTAATGTAGATGACGTGCCAGTGGGGCTTTTTGATGTGAAAAAATCTCGTTTTCTAATTAACATTGCAGAATAGTGAGTTAGCGATCAGTTGTGGAGTTAACCAAGGCTAAAACATGGAGGTTCATTAATCAAAACATTTTCTATAGTTCTAGAATTGGTTCATGTTCTAATATTCTATTCACAAGCATGCCATATTATTCACATCCTTTTTATGTATTTTTTAACATTGTCACCACTTCTAGACACTTCTGGAAATAATAAGATAGTATTGACCTAATAAAAGTATTGATTAAAAATATATGACAGTTTTTCTTCCTGTGGATTGGCCCAGGATTTAGAGAAGAAAATCTCTACAAACTAAGACTAGAAGGTCAGACTTTTGCCAGTTACCAAAGTAAAGATTTATCAGCTGCTCTCCGCCACAATTATTAATTAAAGGCTTTATGGGATTTTTGCTCACATGAACACAACTTATTGAAGAGTAGCGTAATAATATATTCCCCTTGCCTTTTCTGTGTGTCTTTGCAGGCTATTTCAGCGTGTTAGCGGTGGTACTAAGAACGAACAACGAATCCCCATGGACAGACGAATTTGACAGTAAGTGCTAATAACCAAATGGCCTTACATTTTAAATGTCAGAGCATGCTCCCTCTGTGCATGTTCCTGACATCAAACATGTCTCTTCACATTCCGCCAGAACTAATCTTCCTCTTTTTTTGTCCTGCAGAAATCGAATTATCTTGTTTGTTTGAGTCCATTTCAACGCTAAACCCGAGGATAGAATGGAAAAAGATCAAGAATGAAGGGCCTAGTTATGTGTACTTTGACAAGAAAGTGTCAGGTGATCACATTGTCATATGTCATACAAACTGTGTTATATTTATGAATCTTATTTGTGATAACGTATGCTTGTCGTGCAGGTGATTTGGAGAACAGAGCCGTTATTAGAGAACCAGCCACATTAGTGATCACCAATGCCACCAGGTTAGATACGGCAAAATACCGGTGTGAAGTGACTGCGCCTGAAGACCTCAAGTCCTTTGATGAGATTGTGATTGACCTCACAGTAAGAGGTATGATCCAGTTAATGCTGGGGCACAGATACTAAAATAGACATTCTGCATACGTACGCTGACTAGGTGACTTTATATTCTCTATACCACAAATATTCATATTCATTGTGTTCACATCTCACGTCTTAGTTCATCATGCCTGTTGTTCCTAAAACCAAATACATGTTTTGTTGAGAGCTGACCGCAGTAAAATGAAAATGGCTAAGTCAATCAACATGTATTTGTATAGCACAGTTCATACAAAAATGCAACGTGCAAGTGCAAATTAGTGAAAATTCATATTGACCAGTGATGATCAGTCATAGGCATGGCTAGAAATAACTCAGCTTCAACTTAAATATAGTCAGGGTAGAAGATAGTCTCACTCCTTCAGGAAGATTGTTCCAGATTGTTGATGCATAAGTCTGGAATGCTGCCTCCCTATGTTTAGTCCTGACTTTAGGCACCAGCAGGAGGTGCCTCAGAGACAAGAGATAGCACACAAACATGTGTATTTATTTGCAAATGTTAATGAACATTAAAAAACCACACAAACAAACACAGGTAGAGGCCAGAAAAAACACATTCATAGAAATTGTCAGATGGTCTAACCTAGACTTCCACAGATAAATGGTACTCTCTTTTGTAGTAGTAGTAGTAGTAGTAGTGTTTATTTCGAATTACATGCGCAATACAAAACAAAACAAAAAGAAGAAACATATAAACATATATATGCACAATTCGAAAAGGAGTAGGCAGAAGTGAAACTTATGCTTCCTACCCCTTGTTACAAACTTTTCTCTTTACAGGAGTTCAAATGATATACAGGCATATTTCTCTCAGATATACAATTTACACTCGTCTCCATGAATAGTAATTTTAAATGCTGATTTCGCACCAATGATGTTCTTAGGTCTTGTTGTCACTTGCCACTTGTTGCCATTTTTACCCAAAGCTGTTTATTTAATGTTAACATAGTTATGTATGTAGACCCTACATAGTGCAGTGCATTAAAAACAGTGGGTAGAATGAGCCAGTCGAGAGAAGGTAATAGCCCCCACTCCCAACATCCCTGACCAATGGAAATGTAGGAAAAATAAAACCATATTTTATTTAAGGAACAATATCTTCTTATGGCTCTGTGCGGCCGGTTCTAATACTAATTAAATATCATTCCGGGGGCCAAGATAATTAATTTGTGGGCCGGATCAGGCCCCGGGCCTTGACTTTGACACCCATGGTGTAGACAGTTCCAATCCCACTAAATCCACAAAAGTCATCATTAGAACATTATATTTATTAGTATTCTCGCAATGTACCTTTCCTAGCTGTAACTTGCTCAGTGATTCTGTTCATGTGAGGTTGTGTTGATCAAACCTTCTCAGCTGTAAAGGCCTGTTCAGGCTGTGAGTGAGTGCTCTAAAACTGCATCTCTGCTATTGCCAATCTAAAGAAAGCCCATTGCGTGTTTTGGTCTTTGGCACGGTTTGAAAACCATGAACCCGCCGAACCAGAGCTGTCGTGCCGAAGAGAAAGGGAGACATTTTTTACATCAGAACGTCATTGTAGCATTATGAAACGTGTTTAGCAATGACTGTATGGACCTCATTGAGCGTTTATCGATAATATCTCTGCTCTTTCCAGTGAAACCAGTGATGCCCAAGTGCAGCGTCCCCAAATCGGTTCCCGTTGGCAAGTCGGCAGAACTGAGCTGTTTGGAAGAAGAGGGTTTCCCTAAGTCTCAGTACCAGTGGTTCAAAAACAGACAGGAAATTCCAGAAGACCCCAAATCCAGCCACAACTTCTTCAACTCCTCGTACACGCTCAACGCCGACTCGGGAACGCTGGTCAGTAACATGTGTTGGAGGGCATGTACGGAGCAAAGGGTGGGGCCGGGGGGGGGGGTCACAGTCTGGCGCCCAGGGGTGGGACAGATATTTTGGGGAGACAGATGATGGTGCGAGATGGCTTAAGCCCACAAGGGGAATCTGCTGCTCCCGTTTGCACATTCCACAATTCCGTGCATAAGTTCATCTACTCAGTGCTTTGAATAGGCTTAAGGGCACAATACCTAATATTCTGGCCTCGCATCTAACGCATCCCATACTTTGTTTTTGTGAGTGGTCCAAAAGTTCAGGTTGGGAGTTAAAAACAAACATGGTGAAAACAATAACTCAAGGATGATCTTTCTGCTCGACTTATCGTCTATTTTTAGGCGGTGTACGGAAAACATAGTTATCACTCCTCTTAGTTACTCCCATGAGGAAAGACGTGGCTGCCTGCCTCAGACCAACGGAATGTGGCAAATTTATTTAAATCGTTTGCGTGACCCCCTAGTAAACACATCCCCAATTAGAGGATTTAACACCATATAGAAAAAATGTATTATTAGAAAGACCTGATGTGGCAAGTGACTAAGTATTTTTTCTCAAGTACTGCACTAGTATGTCCTGGTATCTGTTCTTTGCTTGATTGTTTAACTTACTTTTAACCCCAGATATCTGTCTTACATGTCTGAATGGGTGGTTACTGCAGACGGTGACTTGACTTAAACCAGACCTCAAAGGAGAACGCTTGTCCAATGTCACATGGACTAAACCGGTGTGGAGAGCCGTGCTTTTAAGGGTTGAAACAGGGGTAAAATGTTGAGTTTGTCAAAGGCAACTATAAAACGTCTTTGACTTTTAGAATTTTCTGAACAAAAACAGGACATGCTTGGACTGAACCTAAAACTGGACTAAAACTCAGGAAAGTCATACTGTTGGATCCATTATTAAAATCAATCAACTTTATTTGTATGGCGCCTTTCCAACACAAGGCCACTCAAAGCGCCTCACAACCCACATATCAGACAAATCAGAAACATCAACAACTACATATACAAACAATACATTAAAAACAGAATAAAATCACAAGTAATGAAAAAAACCTTAAAACATTAAAAGCACACACGAGATTAAAATAATAACTACAATGCATAAAAAAAAAAAAGTGTATGTATCAATAAAATCCTTCAGCCGTATGCACAGCTAAAAAGAACAGTTTGTCACGTGATGAGAGATGGAGGACTCAAACGCAGGAATGCAAAAATAAAGGTTTTAATAAAACAGAAAAATAAACTCGAAAATCCAAAGAAACCAGAACAGGACATGAACAAGACAAGAACAAGACAATGAACCAGCAACAAGGGGAGAGAAGCACAGGGTACATATAGACACACACAGACACAGGTGAAACACATCAGGGCGGGGCAGACAATCAACAGGGAACAGGGCATGAAGCAACTGTCAAAATAAAACCGAATACAAAAATAAAATCCACACCATGACAGTACCCCCCCCTCCAAGGGACAGCTCCCAGATGTCCCAAAAAGCCCAAACGTGCGCCAGGGAGGGCGGAGGGGGTCCGGCGGAGGGACCAGAGGCAGCATAGAAGCAGGGAAAGCCTCAGGTCCGAAGCAAAGTCCAAACGAGTCAGGAACAGAAGCTGAACCCCAGTGACGACCTTCCACAGGGAAACTGGCACACCCCGGGCGAAGACGAATGCCCGGCGGTGACCCAGACACAAAACAGAACCACCCCAGACGGACATCAATGTCTGGCGGTGGCAACAGGTGAGGGGAAGGAGAGGTCATCGTAGGGCTGCAGACAGACGGGAACATCCAATGCAGGGCGTCGCCGTTTTCCTTGACGGGTCAGGAGGGAACAGGGCACCAACCCGGGCAGAGAACAAAGCCCAGCGGTGGCACAATGACAAGCACAGAAGACAACCACCCCAGACGGAGGTCAATGTCTGGCGGTGGTTCCAGGAATAAGGTGGTCAAAAGTGGAACAAAGAAAAAAAGCAAAAATAAATAAAAACCTGAGTTCTGATCAACTGAGAGCAGGTGTGGGGAATAACGCATTCCGCTGAGTCCTTTGAGTGGCTGGTTCATTCTGTCACGTGATGAGAGATGGAGGACTCAATTGCAGGAATGCAAAAATAAAGGTTTTAATAAAACAAAGTCCAAGGCAGAAAAATAAACTCGAAAATCCAAAGAAACCAGAACAGGACAAAGAACAAGACAATGAACCAGCAACAAGGGGAGAGAAGCACAGGGTACATATAGACACACACAGACACAGGTGAAACACATCAGGGCGGGGCAGACAATCAACAGGGAACAGGGCATGAAGCAACTGTCAAAATAAAACCGAATACAAAAATAAAATCCACACCATGACACAGTTTTTAACCCTGATTTGAAAATTGCCAGAGTAGATGCTAGCCTCACATCTTCAGGAAGATTGTTCCAGATTTTTAGCTATTATTGTTATTACTTGCATACTGGGTTCAATGTTTGGAATATAATTAATGATTTGGTTTTTTTCTTGAGAAAATTAGCAATAAAATGATGTATAACATGCCATGCTAGACTATATTGACCAACACTACCATACATAACTCCGATTGGGAAACACTGCTTTATACTTTTACTGAAGCAGCTGAGACTAGTTCTTTTGCTGGCTCTGTCAAAAACCTAAATTGCATATTGCATGTCGATTTACGGCTGGGCGATATGGCAAAAAAGTAAAATCTTGATACAATTTACTTCCAGCTTTGGACAATTTTGATTTTTATGCAATTTTCATTAAAGTCATCGAAGACAGACTTTGCCTTTAAAAATATGTTTTGATCTTTCCGCTAAATATTAAAGTTTCAAAACTATTTTTAATGTGTTTACCCTAATACAAAGTCTTGTACAGACCGTGCTGATATAAGTATACAGTAAGTATAATTCTTGTGCTGCTGGAACTCTCAAAATATACTCACATTTTTCACATTTTCTACAAATTCGATTTTTTCAAAAGCTGATTAATTGCCTAAATTCGATTTATCGTCCAGCCTATGTCGATTGATTTTTTGTTGTTGTTAGAATTCCATAAGCCAACATAAGGTTTTATCGAATTGTATTTGTTCTCTAAAAAAAAGTGTTTCCTCATTTTTCAGAACTTTATTGCAGTCAGAAAAGAAGATGCAGGTGAATATTTTTGTCGAGCGAAGAATGACGCTGGTGCTGCCGAGTGTCCAGCTCAAACGATGGAAGTCTGTAAGTCTTTAAGGAAAAAAATGCAGACCATTCAATGCATTTAAAGTGATATGCTCAAGTTCCCGTTTGTCTTCTGCTCTTGGGCTTCAGATGACATCGATATTTTGGGAATTATCCTGGGCGTGTTAGTGGTGGTCGTGGTCCTCCTGTGTATAACAGTAGGAATCTGCTGTGCGTACAAAAAAGGCTATTTCTCCGGTCAAAAACAGCCTGGAAACAAGTAAGAAGTTGTTTTTAGAATATGTTTTTAACCAACCCCCCATTCTTACAGACTTTGCTAAAATGTCATATTTTGTGTATCAATCAGTTACAAAGTCCCATCGAAAGGAGATGGAGTGGACTATGTCAGGACAGATGACGAGGTAATGCCAATTCTATCCTTTTGAGTATGTTTTCAAAGCACCGGGAAAAAACTGGATCACTCCCTGCTCGTCCTGTTTAATTTGATTGAACAAGATGCATCTAAAGCCGTGCGCTGCGATTAAGTTGTGAAAAACAAGTCCTCGGAGCTGGATCGAACAGTTTATTTTCCGTTTTTTTCTGGCATGTACCCACATAAACCGGACCCTACTGAGACTAAAGCCAGCAGATGCATTTAAGACCGCAGGGAAAAGCCATGCGTATAATGGAAATATAGGTAGCTCGTTTTGTTCATTGCAATGACACATACAGTCCCTCAGCCTCGTTGCCTCGTACTCTGTCACGGTTTTGTTACGCCATGCAAACAGCGGAACTTCACGGCAGTCATGGTGCATTTAAGAGCTCTGCGGAAATGCAATGATTTATGCAGCTGCAGTTGAGCTTTTGTGTGCTCAAAGACACGTGATTACATTTGCTGATTGTCTGCATGTATGATAGCTTTGTACGATACAGTGTACAATAGGTTGTAGAATTCTATTTCAGTTGGAGGGCAGGTGCTAATACAACTCTAGCAAGAAATGTTAGAAAAGGAAAAGTCCAAATGTTATTTTATAGTAAGTAGATTCACAAACCTGCCATCTTATTTTTATGTCTGAAAATCCTTTACTGGACCACAACGTGCATATGTTTTTGACAACTGTCACCACTTCTCGACTCTATGAGAAAAAATAGGTAGACAATAGTTGATATATGCTGACAAAGAAGATGTGGACATTTGTGACCATTTTGGTGCCGTGTGGATTAGCCCAGGAATTACAGAGAAATTATCAATCAATCCAGTTGTATTTGTAGAGCGCCTTTCCTACACAAGCCAACACAAAGCGTCTCACAACCCATATCACATCAAGCAAAAATCATAAACTAAATAATATGATTAAAATCCCACAGGGCATTAAAAACAAACATGAAGATCAATTATCTCTAAACTAAAAATAGATTTCTCATTTTTGACACTTACCATACTGACCTGCACCACAATGTAAAACTGCAGACTCTTTATGCAAATTCAAAGTTTAAGTAATAAGGCAAAGTATTTTTTTTTTTTACACTTTATTCATAGGACAGAACCAAAACATAATAATAATAATAATAATAATAATAATAAATAAATAAATAAATAAAAAGGCTGCACTCTCCCAAATCCCTCATCTAGTTATACATTATTATACATAATATATATATTCCCCACTTAAACGGAAGACATACCCTCAACATATGTTATGAACCGTGACCAAGTTTTATGATTAACGGCTTATTAACCGAGCGCGAGGTCTGTATGGGGAAATATCAGACCGCGGCCTTAATGTACAGACCGAGCCGTGGCAAGGTCTGTGCAAAAAGGCCAAGGTCTGATATTTCTCTTTACAGACCGAGCAAGCAAGGTTAATAAATGTTTTATTATATGACTCTCGTCTGTATCTTTACCAATGCTTTTGAGATATTTGTGAAGTATGTTCATGTCCGACTTGGTTTTGTGTGATACGCGCTGCGGACTGATTGTCATGGTAACGGTCTGAGGAAAGATGTCAAATGTGATACGCACTGTTCGGACCAATTGTCATGGTAACGGTCCGAGATGAGAAAATATCAGACCGGTAATCAGCCAATCAGAGCGCGCGTACGGTCCAAGTCATATAATAAAGACGTTTATTGACCCCCGTAAGCTATACCTTAAATATTCAATCTGCAAACAGAACATTACCTCTCTTACCCACTGAACAAAGGAGAGAGGTTGTGCATCTTTCCACTTTGTTAAAATCAGTCTGCGGGCCAAAAGAGATGAAAAAGCGACAGCACTGGTCTGATAGGAGGTTAGGCCATTTCTAATTGGGACGAGTAATGAGGCAAAGTTACCAGACACATTTGAGAACATTGAAAGCAGCGCATTTATAAGCCCCTGCATGCAGACCAGAGCACCAGAGTGGTCCGACCCATTTGTAAACAATAACAAATCGAGTCCGTTTTTTTGCGTATTCTCATGCTTTGCAAACATACTCACTGATTTCTAAGTCCAGTTCCACAGACGGTGAACTAACATCTCCCCCTCCTTCTTTAACAGGGGGATTTCCGACACAAGTCCTCATTTGTGATTTGAAAAGGTAACGCTGAGCAAGACAAAAAGCCGAGCGAGAGACATGACCAGAGCCAGCGGCGCGCAAACCCAGGCCGCCTCATGCTCCCGGCACCAGAGACACTACTCACGTTTGCCGTTGGTGACCAGACTTCACAGGACAACGAGGATCTCCAGGCAAACCGGGGCAAACTGTTTTAGCTGTTATCATTTTAAGTTAAAGGTGTTTTTACTTTGCATGGTTTTTTCAATGGTTCTACAATAATCTGCCAAGTTTGGAAACGGACAACTCAGCCTATCATTTCTACTTTTTGCCGTTCGTGTTGCATTTCTTTTCTACTGTTGAAAATGTGTCAGACTATTTTTGATGGAATATATTTTAAAATGCCTATAGATAAAGGTTTACTTTTTTAAATATTTGTAAATTACTAACATGTGTTTTTTTCTTTTCTTTTTAAATTTTGATTGTAGGTGAAAAAATGTGTTACACTTTAACCACTTTGCAGAGGATTTACAGGTTTGCGACGGATAGAAAGAAAAGAAAAGGGTCGACAAATGAAATCGGACTTGTTTTAGCATATCAAGGGTCTTGATGGGCGGTCTTACATATAGTATTACATATAATTCTTTGAGCCAGATGGGGGGATGCCTGGTTTTAACGGGGGCTCGAGAGACTTCCAATGTCAACGTTTGTAGATAGTCTTATAGTACGAGGCTTTGATGAGTGCCAGTCAAATGCTGTGAAACACTGTACACAAGGAGTGCTGCGTTTTCTTCATTTTCGTAAGTGTCCTTCTATGCTTGGTGTTGTATATATGACGTTGCTGTCCAGGAGAATAGAGTCGTGCTGTCATACACAATGTTCAGTAATACGCTCCTATGATAATGATGAGAATAATAATAATACAGGGTTTGGACGTTAACCCTCCAGATCAGAAAATTTTTGACGTTTTTATTTGGAAATCCAGCCACATTGAATCAGGCAAGTTAACACTGTGAGATATATGCGTTAAAAAAAAGGGCTTCGTTCAGTTTACGTGACAGAATTTGTGAATTGACAGATGCAATCCAGGTTTCAGCGCTGTTGCAAGACAGGGCTGAATTTCCAATAGATTACAATTACAACAATTACTACTACTAAGATAAGAATACTGTACAACTACTCTAGGTACTAACAAAATACAGTTGTGCTTGAGAGTTTACACACACAGGCAGACATTTTGATTTGAATTATTAACATTGCCAATATTTCTGATAGTATGAATAACAACAATAATAACGTTTTATACTATTCACAGTCAAATAAATATGCGTTGAAAATCTATTTAGAATGACAACTGAAAAATGACATGCCCCAGTCCCCCCTGAAGCGTGCAGAATATTTCAGTTTCAGGAAGTTGAAACCTTACAGGCATTATGAAAAAATAATTTTAAAGATTGAAAATATATTTGGGACTAATCAGCTTTCAAGTGACGCCCAGAAGACCAATATCAGTAGATAATGTATGATTATAAAACAAAATCTGCAAAGTTAGGCAAACATTCCTATAGTATTTATAAGATAAAATAGACTGTATTGGTCTTACACAAGATAATTTTACAAAACCACAGTGAATAGTCAATAGTAGTTATCTTAAACCTTATAAATCTTTCTGGTGATGCTTATGATCACTACACTTACTCCAAGGGGAAGACTGCTTTGAATACATTTATTATGGAAAATACTACAGGGTCAAACCATGTATTATTTTGACCATGACCCTGTAGTATCATGACATCTTCCCTGATGATAAAGCCTCCACTTCCTGTAAATTCCTGGGCTATCTTGCAAGATATCCCCAGAGTGTCTCAATTATTATAACTTATCATTCGACATTGAAAATAGAAAACACGTCTATTTGACAATAAGTGACACAACCACTAACATCAAAAAAATATGCTGTTCTGTTTTATCATAATCTACAAAATATGGCCAAAAGAATGAAATCTCTGGCTCGGTGTGTGAACTTTCAAAGCACAACTGTATATATATATTTTCCTGATTGCTTCTGTAATCTGTTTACATTCAGTCTCTTCTTTTAAACTTATATTCTTTGTGTTGTGGTTTGACTGAAGTTTTTTTAAGGCCCTCATTCCTCCAGGCAAACCAATGAATCGAAGACATGCTGGGGTCTGGAGGGTTAACACTTGTGCTGATTGTATATAGACTTTATTTGAGGATTATGTAAAGTTGTGAGAAATTGTACAATTTTGTGTTTTGAGGCGACATGAAACTCTTTCCATTTGACTGAATAGAAAAGGTAACATTTTAGATTTCGCGACACAATAATGAATTTTTGTTGTCTGGTTGGTTGAAATGTTGCCTAATGTCAGCTTTGGTAGAGACGATCTGCCCACCATTTGCACAGAGGTTTTGACATGGCAACCGAGTAAACAAAAGTGCTAAAAATATACGCGGTTGGAAAGTAAAAAAAAAAAAAACAAGCCACGTCATGTTATTTTGTCCTTTCATTTGTCCAAATCTCGTTCCTCTTAAGTGCCTTCTGCCTCTGATTTATTAACAACCAATCTTTCCTTCATTTCCCGCAAAAAACGACAAAAGCTCCTACATGTATAGTTTGCATTCATCCACTATCGGCGTTTGAGAGGAATGATATCACCGCAAGCTTCCACGTCCCTTCTTGGCATATCTGCAAACTTGTAAATAGTTGTTAGATTTGACTTATTGAAGTTGTAGAGGGTTATTATTAGTGCCTATATGAATATTTTTGGTAAAGACAAGTAGCACTATTAGGCATAAATGTGTTCACCCAACGCAGGCATCCATAACTCCTGGTTTATACATGCGCGGGAGGGGGGGGAAGAATTATGATATAAATATTGTATATCAGAATTGATGCTTTGTGGTTTTTCAAGCAGCCGTAGCAGGGAGAGGTGATGGAGTTTTCAATACAAACAAAAGGAGTGATAGATTCTGGTGTGGATTGTAGCTCGCGAGGAGTGCACTGCTGAGATAATCCACCCCTGCTTTTCTTAAAGGAGATTTTTCAGAACCAAACTCACTCACAGTAGAATGTCTGTTAAGGGCCTGCTGGGTTGTTGTTTTTTATTGTTAATTCTTGAATCATTCTCTTTGTGATTAATAAAATTCACTTCTAAAATTACAGCATTTCTTTGCTTTTTTGACACACTAGTAACTATTAACTATGTTTTTTCTTTAACTATTTTTCTGTCTTTCACAAAACGCTATGATTTCTTTAATATGTGACAAACAAGGACAACTTATTTCTATTTAAAGTATAGTTTTTTTAATCATTAAAAGAAAGGCATTGAAGCTCAGATACCTCATTTTTATACCCAAAAATAATTAAACTGTGTAATAAAATTCATCTAACTATTTGCCTCAAAACAGTTGTGTTCTACCACTATTTTTCACAAGCATTTAATTTTTGGCTTGTGATCAGATTTTTCAGAGAGACTTTTGGGAAAAAAGAGGACCACCCTCACTCGGCCAATCAGCTCTCAGCCCAAAGAGTCAAATTGTAACATTCAGGGCTCATTCGTAGAAGTATGGTCTGATGTATTCACAACATTGTACATAGCAAAGGAAGGTTTCTCACCCAATGAAATCTCAGAGTCCGAGATTTCATTTTTCTCTCAGAGTCTGAGATTTCAATCCTTTAAAAAAGTTCTTTAGATGAAGGACGAAACGCCTGGAAAACCTGCTAAGAAGTACAGATGATGGGTGAGAAACCTTTCTTTGCTTTGAGTAATCCCTGTGATTATTTCTGTTGGGACAAACTATGTATTATTTATCGTGGGTTAGGTACCTCAGATTTATTATTGTTAACACAGCACCTCAGGCTCACAGTTGTACAGATATGACTGATGCCAGGTCAGTGAGACTTTTATTGTGTACTGTTTCCATCCATAATTTTCTGTCCGTTTCATATTTTTCCAAATCTTCCTCGAGTACAAGGGGCGTCCCGCTGGGCTCCAAAAGCCTCTCTTGAAATATGGTCCATCACATTTCCCACTGACACCATCTCTGCTCATCTCAAGCCAAAATATATCAAAAGAGGTACAGCCAATCCAAGTCACAAAACAGCTTTCTTGTTGCTTTGTGGTCTTCTTGCCAACTGGCCGCATCCAGAGCCTTATAATCAGGGCAGCGCCGCAGGGAGAATTTATGGGCCTGTGGATTGCAGCAGTGCCACCGAACACTTTTATCGAATTATTAGAAAAATCAATTAAAGCATGGACCACGATTCTGCTGAACTCAGGCAGCAACGTGTGGGGTTTGGCTTTTTTTTTCTAATTAGGGGGATTGCATATCAGGGAAACGGTCTCAGATTATTATGAGGGAAATGTTTGTAATTGAACACTCATTAAATTTACCGTTACAGCACAAGGTTTAAAGGGCTGACTCATTGTGCTGCCCTTTCAGACGTGCATTGTGTTACACGCCTGTCTGGCTGCAAGAAGGTAAATGAAGAAAGTGATTGAGGAGACTGTGTATACTCACGAAATTACACATTTCTGTGGTCCAAGTCTGTGGATCTCAAATGGAACTGTATTCAACACAACAAAGCTACAACATTAACCTTCCCAGCAGGCTATTGAATGAGCCCGTTAAAATAGATTTTAAATATATATATTTAAATAAGTCAATTTGTTTTGGAGTTAATAACTCAATTGAGAAATGTATACTTCAGGTAAATAAGTTTTTTATTTTTTTATTATTATTATTATTTCCCCCCTTCATTTATATATAAACTCATGTTATATGGACATAGGACAGGACTGGTTGAAGTGATCTAAATACAGGTCTAAACTTCTTTGATTATGACAAATAGTGGCTTGTTCTGAACATAGACTATATATACATTTCTGGTATTATCTATATATAGTGCTATAGATTATGTTGTTAAAGAAAACTACACATTCTAAATGACAATAAAACTGTAACTCAAACATGTGAAGTAGCCTGACAGAAAATTGAATACAAAACTGTATTAGCCACAATACAATCACACGAACAACACTGAGGCTTTCCTTTAGTAAAGAGGAATGCTGAGAGGGACCAGGAGTTAAACAGATCATGGGTCACTATCTATTGGACAGAAGATCAGGCCTCTTTCTGAAATCTATCAGTACAATTTGATGAGATGACAGTGTCTCACTCTGTCTGACCGTTCAGCACAAGCCCAAAGCTCTAGGATTAATACAGAAATCCTAAACTTTTCTTATTGATCAGTAATTGCCTACATATGTCTTTTAGTTCAAAAAGGGAATTGCAAAGCGTTAGTATTTAAGAACAATTACAACGATTCTCGGGGAAAGAAACAGATGATGAAAGAAAAATATAACAGTAAGGGAGAAAAACAAGAAAAGAAAATACATAAAAGTAAAAACTCATATCGTAAAGTACAATTATGTTTTTGTTTTAAACATGCTTCCTTGTGAGGGAGACTATATTACTATTCTGATAGACACACTTCAGAAATAAAACGGAAACTAAGAACGACTTCTCTTAAACAATGGCGATAAACTTAAGTCTCAGGATTTTAATATCAAGAGAAAAAACCCCAACAGAGCACTATAAAAAAAAAATACACTAAATAACATTGTTCCTGTAGTGGTCATTGGCTCCCTCTTGTGTAGAAACACTGATATTACGTTTGGATTGAATCTCTATCACTTACGTTCCAAATGTGTAGCTTTGCTTTTAGAGGCCCAAACTAACATCCCATTATATTAGCAATTTAATTTGATCATTGTTTTTCATTTATCTACTACTGTCTACTTCACCTACATAAACCACGCAGTAGGAGATGGAGACCTAGATCCATGATGGCGACGTGTTAGAAATGATGACGTATGGAAAAGCTGCCATAAACTGTATGAGAAGAAGAACATCACGAGTGCAGTAATGCTCTGAGCTCCTTTAGTTTCATGATAAAATATAGTGTTGAAGAAGAAGCCGCTTCTGATCATTCTTTGGATTCACATGACTCTCGGCGCATGCGCAGTGGTTCAGTTCACGCAGCCTGGAAGCTGAGTGCACTCACAGCGATCAGACCAGTTTTGGAAAGAATAGTTTGGTCTTCCCCCGAGTGTCTGAACTGGAGAATAATAATACACGGCTGTTGTGAGCTGACACCATGAGTTTCTTTGGTTTTGGTCAAAGTGCGGACATCGACATAGTTCTGAATGACGCCGAAACCCGAAAGAAAGCTGAGCACAAGAGCGAGGACGGCAGGAAGGACAAGTATTTTCTCTTCTTCGACGGAGAAACGGTGTCTGGGAAAGTCAACGTGAACCTCAAATACCCGGGCAAGAGGCTGGAGCACAGCGGCATTAAGATCGAGTTTGTTGGACAGATCGGTAAGAGCCACGGCCTGCAGCTTCACATGTAGCCGCACACGGAGCCTCTGGCCCCGGGGCGAGGGGCCAGCGGCAAACTGTGTGGAGCAAATAGAGCAGCTAGTGTGGTTATTGCACATGGTCACAGGGAGAAGCCCAAACGGTCGTTCAGGAGAGCAATGAATGACAAATGCTTTGGCGCTAACAAGTGTCAGTCGGAAGTGTCAAGTCCCGTGACGAACACGGTGCACGCTGGGACATCAGCTGACAGTAGAGCCTTTCACACTGTACCGATGTGTACACAACTCTCTCACACATGTCCATATAAGGACTATAATCTGCTCTAACACCTCCTGATTGTGCCAAACATCCATACCATTACTTTTACCAAGAGCTGTCATTAGAAGCCATCGTACAGTATGTGGCACAAACGTGTTTCTTCTGGCAGTGACACATACTGACCCAGCGCCATTAATAAGAGTGAAGCAATTGATTTTCATCTCCCTAAAATGAGTATGACCAGCTACATTAAATCCAAACATGACACTTTGTCCAATGTAGTCGAATATAGCCACACTGAATACAAAGTTATTGTAACTATTAAGTCTGTGTCTTCATGCCTTTGTTTTGCAGATAGAAGTGATGTGTGCAGACTTGTTCTTCTTACAGCGAATGCCCTGGGTGTCTTTAATATGTGTGTTTGCAGAGCTGTACTATGACAGAGGAAACCACCATGAGTTTGTGTCTCTTGTGAAAGACTTGGCTCGTCCTGGAGAGCTCACCCAGTCACAGTCGTTTGACTTTGAGTTCACGCATGTGGAGAAGCCTTATGAAGCCTACACTGGACAGAATGTCAAACTACGGTAGGTGGAGGCTTTTATGGAGTATTATGGGTTGCATAAGCACAGAATTTCTCACAGAGGATTTGTCTTCTTAGATATTTTCTCAGGGCCACTGTGAGTCGAAGACTCAATGACATTAGCAAAGAACTGGACATCGTGGTCCACACCCTCAGCACCTACCCTGAACTCAACTCCTCTATCAAGATGGAAGTAGGAATCGAAGACTGCCTGCACATAGAGTTTGAGTACAATAAATCAAAGTAGGTTACATGTCTACTATTTCGAGTTACTCTTGATTTTTACATGCATTTTCTTTTAATGTTGCTGTGGTTCTTTCACAGGTATCACTTAAAAGACGTGATAGTTGGAAAGATTTATTTTCTCTTGGTTAGAATTAAGATCAAGCACATGGAAATAGACATAATTAAACGGGAAACAACTGGCACTGGTCCAAATGTCTACCACGAGAACGATACCATCGCCAAATATGAAATTATGGATGGTGCACCTGTCAGAGGTAAGAATAAAAAGGCTGTGCAGTTCCCGGAGTAGGGTCCTTATCATTTATAAAATTGAACTGGGAAACAAGCAGAATGTATTATTTTCAATGTTTTCAAATATTGATGTTGATGGACTGTGGTCCTCAGTAAACGCCACACACTTGTTCAGATGTTTCCTTTCAAGTGTTGTTGTAATTGTAGTTTCTCACGTCCTGCAGGAGAGTCAATCCCCATCAGGCTGTTCCTGGCAGGGTACGAGTTGACTCCCACCATGAGAGACATAAACAAAAAGTTTTCTGTGCGCTACTACTTAAACCTGGTCCTCATAGACGAAGAAGAAAGGCGCTACTTTAAGCAGCAGGTATTTGGAAAGAGTCGGTTTAGGACAGTGTTTGGGAGAGAACTTAACCTGAGACCTGTTTGTGTTTTCAGGAGATCACTCTGTGGAGAAAAGGGGACATTGTCAGAAAGAGTATGACTCAACAAGCTGCCATCGCCTCCCAGAGATTTGAAGGTTCGTCTCATCCAGTGAAGTCTCCCACACAGGACAGTGAGGAGTACAGCTAAAGGCTCCGCAGCCTGTGGCTGAGTGAACGACTGCCTTAGAGGGGCTGAATGTACACAGCAGAGATGATAAACACAGGTGTGTCAGGGAACAAGATATTGCTCTGTTGAGTTTGTCAGACTGATCATAAAACAGGCAGCACTTTTTTCACCAGTCATTTCCATAAAACTACAGATCATGTTTTTCAAAAATATTTTCATAATAGAATTATGTAATCATAAATTGTTTAAAGTGCATTTAACTAGTCATCTTTACTGAAGTGTAGCTCAGTGCATCGACTGTATTGGGTACAGTTTGTCACAGGCCAAATGGATCATTCATTACTTTAATTATGATAATTCACTGCCATAGTAAAAACCTTCTTTTTAGTTCACAGCTTTGGCTTTATTAACAAGGATGTAGAGATGGCATGTTTTCAAACATTCCAATGTGTTATCAGTACTAGCTTTTTACCAGAATCCATTCAAACAGCTGTTGTGTGATGAAAAGTAGGTGATGAAGGATAATGGACTTCTTATCACAGGCTGCTACTGCTGCTAAACCCAAAGTGGTACTTGTGAACGCTGTGGGATTTATGAGGCCTCCAAGCGCACTTATTTGCACTATACTCCATTTTAGCCCTTCTCCACTTGTTCTGTGTTTGACCTAAAGCAGTAGAGTCGCTGTGCTCCATGTGCAGTATTGTATTACATATTATTTTTATGTAACTAAACCTACACCATTGCTGATCAATAAACTGCTGGATGCTTGCACTTCCATGAACGACATGGTAGCAATGTGCCTCAAAGGATTATTGCTAAAATATTCAGTGCTATAACAGAAATGGCTGGTTTGTCATAATCAAAGATTGGCCATTACAAGAAAACAGCTGTTGGAAAAAGAAGATGAAATGTATTATATAATTAAGGACTCGAGTGAAGCAGTAACTTAAGTCAACTTCCAAAATTATTAAAAAAGCGCAAGAAGCCTGAAGACTAATTCTACCCCTGTTTTGTTTGAGTTTAAAACACCCATTGCCTAAGCTTGCAACTTTTGTGTAGAACGGCTTATTCTTAGCAGAGATAGATTACTGTGTATGTAAAAACATTTTGTATTTGATGTATAATTTTGCTAATGTGTCAGGCTGTCAAGCTGCTGTTTTGGTAGCTGCAAGTATCTTTATCACACCAGCTCTATGACATGTTGGTAAAACAAATGTACTGTACCTCGAATGGATACACAACCATCATGAACATAAGAGATTGTATGAATTCACTTCTGCCGAAAAAGGAAACAATCTCATCATATATTATTTTCAGTTTTTCATTTAGTGGTACAGATACAGGGGTACATTTATCAATCCAGGTGATAAACAGCAGGTGCTAATTGAGGCGGGTGCAATTGTTGTAGTAGTAGTAGTAGTATATAATGCGGCTCCAGTGTTAGTGGTGCTGATCTCACGCGCAAACCCTTGATTAACATACCCCTTAGACGGCTCCTGTACTCTATCTGTAGCTAAACTAATTGATTTAGAATTTAAATTCTGAGATTTTACGTGTACAGTAAATGCACAATGTAAATTCAAGCTTTTTGTTTGTGTCCATGTTTATTATCTCTGTACATGTTGAATCATGTTTTATTCTGTTTTTATTCTAATTAAAAGGGAGTAACTCGTGAGCTTGTCCTTCTATTGTTCTGAAGAACTAAAGGCTAAAGATTATTTACAAAGAAGGCACTTCCATTTCACAGCCACTTGAGGGCGCCGATATCCTTATGAACTACTGGCCTCCTAATTATCATCTTGCATTTACCAATAATAACAATTCAATAAAACAAGATTCTTCCAGGACTGGGTGTCTGGACTACTCTGCGTTTTTCAATGGGTTATTTGCAGTCCGCAGCAGTGGCAAAATCAAACAATATTTGCTTTTCTTGTATTTGTATTTTGAGGCTTAAAGTCAACATATAGTAAGTCTAAGAATACGTAATGAACGTTATAAACGCATTTGTAAAGTGTATTTGTATGGTATTAATGCTTGAGCTGCGCATATCTCTAGGTCACTGACCTTACGATCCAAAACTGTAAACATGGACATCTGTCCACAAATATTAGGGATGGCCACAATGCCTCAAATGAAAACCAGATCCTGTCATATCTCTGGAGCTAAGCAGGGCAGGGCATGGTTAGTACTGTGATGAGAGACCATTGCCTATGCCTATCGTTGTTGGTGGTTGTTCGTGTCTGTCAGTGTGCCCCAGGGCAGCTGTGGCTACAGAAGTAGATTATCACTACCATGTGTAGAGTAAAAGAAGAATGACGTGAGGCGGCTTTTCGTCTCAAAAAAGTGATAATTAAAATCGATGCAGTATTATCATAAACGTGTAAGCGTGTGCAAACATTTAAAACAACTAAACGAGCTCATTTGAAGTTCCGATTGCAAAACATTTTTTTATGTTTATTTTTTTCAAAGTTGGTACTTGTGTAGCCCATGCACTTGTTCCACATGTGGGATTTCCGAGCGACCATGAACGCCTCTTCGCCCCAGTGCAGCTCGTGCTTGTCTCGGCTGCTCTCAGACTCAGATGAGCCCGTGGTCGGTGTCAGCAGAGGACCCTCTCAGCTCCACAAGTTTACCGCGGAATCACTAACCCGGGACCCCACCACCACCGGCGGCTCTTGGACGTTACCCCGTGAACCCTGCAGGCAGCTCGGTGAACGGAATGTTTGTCTTTTCTAACCGCGTGGTTCATTGATCGCTCCCCGCGCGCCTCGCTGTCCCCGGGGGAGCTCTTTTTGTTTGGGGGTTATAGTCGAAATGTGACGTGAAGAGACAGCGTGGTGTCCGCCCGTAGCGAGGCCTGCCTTTTCGGAGAAAGTTTGCGAAATACGTGAAATAGTTTGTCATTGACTGGGGGAGGAGAGCGCCAGTGTGGGCTGGGATGAGCAGACACTTTAGCCGTAGGGAAGCGCCAGACGGGGACAGCGAAAGCTAGACTTATCCCACAGGCACCAGCCCTCACCGGCGGGACGCGACCACCACGACCACCACGGCCCCGGGGCAAGGCTACAGCCAGGGTACGTGACCAAACATTCACTTTCTCTACAAGTATCTGCGACATCAGCCTGCTTATTGTTTACTGAATGTTGCAGCAGCTGGTGGTTTGTGGCCAGACAGTGAAATGTGCTCTGTGTGTGTGTGTGTGTGTTTGTGAGCAATTGAGGGGTATTGGCTTAAGAGGGATTACCAAACGTATGGGCTATTCTCTGCTTCTCAAAAAAAAAAAAAAAATCTAGTGGCAAATTAAATGAAATCGCTTTTGCTGGAGCTGTAAGTGTTAAACTGTATCAAATATGTTTCACAGCGACTTAAACAATAAACATTCAGCCTGGAGTGAGTTTGCTTCACTTCATTGAGGGAGTATTGTTTGTAGTTTAGGTGCCATGTCTTGTCTTGTGACATCATGACACTAAGGCAGCAAGTGCACCCTGTGAGTGCTCTGCTTTACAAGGTAACTAAACACATTCACACAGGGTGGATGCTGAGGCAAGTGAATGTTTAATCTAGACTAGGGATTATTGATAACCACTAATATGATGCACACTTTCATCAAGCAAATTTTTTATGTGTGTTGGATGGAAAACTTCATTTTGCAGCCCCTTCTGAATATCAGTTATCAAAATGTATTTAATTGTAATGATTTGTTTCAATCAAGTATTTTCAATAATCAACTTTTATCAATCAATTAATCGCTGCTCTTAGTTGCTAACTCCTTCTCTATTTACAGAGTAATTACAAAGAACTAAAACAGTAGATACATAAATGCCTCAATTTAATTATGAAATGGATATTTGCAGGTAAAACTATGTCTTCCGGCAGCTTCTCTGCTGAAAAATGTATTTCAATCATCAACGTTGTATAAAAAAAAAAAACCCCACATTACCCTGTTTCAAACAAATAACCTATTCATGTTAAAGTAATTATCAAATTCGTTAGTTACAGCCATGATTTTTTGTTTTATTTTCTTGGACCAGAGACCTTACTTTACATTAATGATCAGATTGAAGTAAATCCAGTCTGGTGCTCTTGAGTCTAAACACACTTTGTGAAAATGTTAAAGCACCAAACAATCACCCCCACGATCCAGTTGTCACCTCAGTCAACATATTTGCTTTGAAAGCGATCATTGACGATACAGGGACAGTTGCATTTGCTCCAGACCAATAAGTGAGGACACTAGTCGTGCGACGTGAGAACATACAGGCCCTCCTCTTTCTGTAGCCACCACTATTCAAACTGCACAAAGGCTTAAACCCAAGCCAATTGGGTGAGTCCATTGTGTGTTTGTGCACTCAGTCCACTGGAGCACTCAAAGGGGAGGGGTGTGAGCAGGGGAACATGCTCTCGTCCATTTAAAAAACATTTCACTTGACTTAATCCGGCTGAAATGTTGTGAACAATAATGGGGCTGCATGATACAATATTTCTGACTGACATTGTTATTGTGATGCTCGTTGTACTGTACGTTTAAAAAGTAAAAATGTGATCAAAGTAAAATCAACAAATCCAAGAGTCACATTTGATAACGTGAAGTGATTACCTCGTACTCAATTCTCACACATAAAAATAAATACAAAGTACAGCCATAGTGTAAAGAATTTTCTTCAGTCTGAAGTTTAGACCTGAGTTGTGCAACACATTTTGACCGTTTTGGCTTTCATACCAGATTTAAAGTTGTTAAATTATACTTTATTGTCACCGTAGGGAAATTTGTCCTCGGTATCTTGGCATCTGTCAGGAGCAGTGGTTGCCAAAGTGCAGCGCTCAGGGATCTATCTCCAGATGTTGACGCTCTGCATGGTCAGGACCAGAGAATATTGCCTATTGTACATGTTTTAGCGGTAGGGGAAACCGGAACACATGCAGACACGGGGAGGACATGCATACTGCATTCAGAAAGACCCTTTTACTGCCGAGATTCCAACCCAGGATCTTCTTACTTAGAAGCGAGAGTGCTCACTACTCAGCCACTGTGCCCTTCCATTGACATATCTTCAAAATATACTCCAATCTAAATTAAAGTAGTACACTCATAGACTGTATATATTAACGGACGTAGTCACGTCTATCTCCGCCGTTCTAACTAATGGGCCAAAAATTGGGCTTTCATGGAATGATTCAAAATGGCCGCGGGGGCTGGAAAATGTGAAAAAACGCATCTGTGCATGCTTCAGCTGCACGAGCTCCATTCATTTAAACAAGTGACTTCAAAAATTCACAGCGAGTAAACTAGACTGGTCCAAAAAAATTCACTCCCCTCAGCATTGACACACATGTGGAACGGAGCTTTGGGCCAAGAGCCAACTTTTGGTCCATCCTGTAAAGCGGTTTTCGAGAGGTCAGCTAATGCTAAATGTTAGCATTGGCTAATTCTTATTCCGGGTCCACCCCCATCGGCCCGGGGTGGTATTGCAAGCATGTTAGCGCACGTCATTTTGGCCACTTTTGACCCGGGACCCGCCCCCACTGAGTACACTATAATGGGTAATGAAATACTATTAAAACACAAGAGAAGCACAATCAGTAACTCAAGCAGACTCATTGTGTTATACTTGTCTAAGCCTGTTACTAAAATATGTCTTGGGTCATGCGGCTTTGGGAGGATTACCCAAAGAGATCTCATACAAGACACTCCTCTGATACGGCATTAACATTTGCCCTGTGTGGACTTGACATTGTCTTTGGAAGTGGAACACGATGAAGGGCAGTCATCGTCCCCTCTCCCACGTACGCCGTAATTTGATCCACAGCTCTAATGAGCCTCTGATGCATCACTATTGAATTATCATGAGATCTGATATCTTGTTAACCTGTATTTAACAAGCGGACGCAGACCCAGAAGGAATAAAGCCCTGGTCATCACTGTGTGTACACCTCCAATAAACTTTACTGGACCTGTCAGGCAGTGTGTTTGTTTTGTCAATCTTGTCCCACGTCACCACCATATCCAATTGCGCCCTCCTATGAAAACGTTTTGCATCAAAGCGTCGCACGGTGCCACAGTGTACAAGTCACGCTTCATTATCTAAGTGTGCCATCGGCGGTCATGGGTCGCTTTGTCAGCAGCGTAGTGGAAAACAAAACTGATTCTCAACCAGATGCACGTCATACCAAAATACAATGTGCCACACACTCACACGCAGTACTCTAACCACTGAAGCATGGGTACACTTTTAAGATTAGATAGAGCTTTCATTTGTCCCACAGTTGCGAAATTTCCATTTTGCAGTGCACAGACAGGACAGTTGTAGGAGCACACAGGGAGCACACCAAATATACAAAATAAGTAGAAGCTATTTTTCTTAGCTAGCTGTAAATGCTTCAATACCGTTTCATTATTTTACAACCACATTTGATAACTACCTGTAAACGAGTCTGGCCCTCCACAAAATAACAATATCTCGATGTGGCCCCCTAGAGAAAATTATTGCCCACCCCTTAAATCACCAGAGATGCGTGGAATGAAATGCTCCAGCTGAAACATACTCTTTATGTTTGTTATAAAATATTATTCCTTATTTTCCATATATTGAACTGTTTGTGTTACAGAAGCCTAATTTGAAACCGAGACCCTGTGTCTTGGTTTCGTAATTACACTTTTAGTAGGTGCACGGCTTGGAGATGACAGGTCATTAAAGCTGTGTGATTAATTTTATTGTTCTTGAATTCTTTGCCTCGGATGAATTTTCATAGCTGCGAAGGGGGCAACCCCGCGGCTAAGTAAATAGAAATGCTATTAACTATAAATTACTCACTTAATGACACGTCACAACTAACATTATTTCTCTGGTGGATGTAAACATTTTGTGCACTAGATGGCGGTTAATGTAATGTGGATTTTGTTTTAATCTTGAATGGGATGTTTTGGCCCTGATGGTTAAAATCAGTCTTTACTCTTGGTACTGTAAATACATCGTCGTCCTACCTGTGAAAGACCTAGTGTTACGACCCGGCTCAGCTAGGTGTGAGGAAGTAACAAAATAACCAAGATGGTAGAATGGTAACTAAAATCATAATTTATTTAGGTGACAAAGTAGGTAAAACAAAATAGGATTAATATCTACATAACACACAGTAAATAAATACCCTATTAAAACAAGTAAGCAGTTGACAAAACCAAAAGTGTAAACCTAAACTAAAGTGTCTCAACATAAACTAAACAAGTCACTGAACTAAGGTACCGGCACAAGTGACAAAACACAGACAAAACTAATGGCAAACTGGAGTCCACTGACTCCAGCTGCCCTGAGCCGCGGAAGATTGGCAGTTTATAAGGGCGGGTCCTCCAGGTGAGCGCACGCTGATTGGAGGCCTGCCTCAGCCCAATCAGCACCCAGGCATCGCGGTCAATCAGCTCCAGGTGGGGAATGACTGGCCAATAGGAGCCCAGGACTCACGAGCGTGATCTTCCTGAAAAAAGGGAGGAAACACAACCACACAGAGACACCACGGGAGAAACTAAAGTAATCCCCAAAATAGGGAATTACGGGCCGTAACACTCTCCCCCTTAAGAGTGCAACTAAAAGTTGGACAAAAATCTCGAAATCTACAAAGCCAAATTAATTTAATACAACTGTAATCACCTAGAAAAAACATATTAGGGGAAAAACTATGGGATGATCATTGTGCAGATTAATGCACAGAGCAGCATTGCCCCAGAGACGGCGGCAAACTCACGCTACCCAAATACACATCCCAACATGTCGAACACAAGACCAACCAGTGTCAATTTCTTAATGATTAACATGACCAGAAGTTACTAGAAAAATACTCCCATGCTTTTCAGTTTGCTTGTGTCATACAGACATGGTTTGGACATTGTTCTGGCCCGAGAGGCACACGCACTCATACAGGTGCGACAGAACAAGCAAAGGCCAACACAGCGGCCTTGTTAGAGATGTAACCATTGCTGTATACAATTCTCAGCTTTAACGAATTTACAGAGTAACACTGAGGTTCCTTACACCAAGACAAACAGGTCATATGGGCTTATTTTTTTGTGTTCCTAAATTTAGTG